TCTTTGAATTGTTGAGGGGGAGATTGGAGACAATGTGGTCAAAGGCCGTATCAATAACAGTCTGTATGTGAACCTGTCTGCCTGGATCCTTTGTCCACTTGACACCTGGTCTGGAATTAGTGGTATCTAGACCTACAGTGAATCTTGAACCAGTACAGGCCATTGGTTTGGTTGATTGTCTACCCCGTCCAGTATTGGTTGCCCAAAGAGACTTGCATAAGCCAAAGAACTGTGTGGCATACTGCATGAGCCTCATCTCAGTGTACCTGGCAGAAAGTTGGGCAATGAAGCAGTCTTGTCGTCTTTGTGTAAGCTGGGCAGGACGTTTGGCCTGTCTCTTGTGGGAACGTTCCAGGTTGGAACCATCCCAGCCGCTGGGAGGGCCCCATCGCATTATGTAATGTGGAAGATGAAGCATGAGATGATTTTTTATCAGTCTAGCGCCCATTCCTTTCCTTTGGCATATGGCACCAATATTCTCCACATATACACCAAGAGCTTTGGAAAGCCGGGTGCCATCCAGAACCTCGTCAGCTGGAAATGAAGGTGACTTCAACCACTGCTCCATGACTAGGACAATCTCAAAGAGGTAAACAAAGTTGTCAAGAAAGTCTTCTTCCATTGTTCTTTCCTCAAGACATATTTGTCGTCCCCGATCTGTCATTAATGTCAACAATATGGAGAGAATAACTCCTGCATGCTCATGACCACACTTTTTTGCCGAGGAAAAGAGGGAATTCTTAAACTTGGTCCTTGGTTTGTTGCGGTCTGATTGTCGGCTGAGGAAGGCACCCATCTGATGACCAATAAAGTTCAGATTTTCCAGTCCTTTCTTGATGCCCTTCTTTTTGGAGGCAAAGGATTTGTCATCCAAGGTGATTTTGGTCCCATTTCGAAACTGATACTCAAATGATTCAATGGCCCGCATCTGCCCCCCCTTCTGAAGCATATGCAGAAGCTCGGCTGGACAGTCTATGTGCGTCTTGTGGGAGTTCGATCCATGGCACATTTCATCCAATGCATTGACAATTGGGTGGTGTGACACGGATTTCCAATATTCTTCGTCTCCAGGGGGATGTTGATTGGTGTCAAAGTCTTCCGGAGAATAAAGGTTCACCTTCTTGAAGGCATCTGGATTGATGATGTCATTAGTTGAGATGTCACAATGACGACACATTGACTGAATATTCTCGTTATGTTTATTGAACTTTCCGCAAAGTTTGTTGTGCATGGCTGTATCAGATATGATGAAAGCTATGGAAAACACCAGCTCAACTGTATGGGATTTGCCTCCATAAAATAGATCCCACTCAATCCCAATGTCATTATCCATCAAGTACTTCAGGTCAGTCATTCCATTACGGAGGGCCGAGTGCAGGTTTTGAATTTTGTGAAAAGTTTCAGTCTTCTGCTCGTGGTGGGCGGCCTCTGATTCATCATTGGGAAGATAAAACCAAGTGGTAGAAGCTTCTTCTTTCTTTCTTGTATTGTTGTTGTAAAGACCAAGCTTAATGTTGACGGGTGTGACAGTCAAACGCCCATTGGTGTCTGTATGGGTTTCGTCCGTTTCAAGAATAATGGGACAAGTGATTCTACGGCTTTCTTTTCCACAACCCTTGCGCTTCATCTTCATTGTTTTTTGCCACCAAGAACCATGATGAAGCTCCAAAACTTCCTTGGGTGGCATGGAGGGCTTGTTCTTGAAGGGATCTGACTCATGGGGAAGGTTGATATTGCAGCTATTTGGGCCAAGGATGACTTTGTTGGTGAGAAGTTCATAGACACAGTCTAGAAAAGGTCGCACATGTTGCACTACTGGTTTGTTGTCGGGCAGCCAATTGATAACCTCCTCTTTGAATTCAAACCCATCATCCATTCCCAATTGGTTCCGATACTCCATGATCATACGTTCACGGCTTGGTGGGGGACCACGAAAGATGTCTGGGTGGATCTTACATGCCTTGTTTGCCCAGTTGTAAATGTCATCAACAGCCGCAAAGGATAATCCATGTTTTTCTTGTAGTTGCATCATCATCATATGGACTATGACATCTTTTGGTGGGTCTTCTGGTAGGTGTTCCCGGTTTGCGTTCTCTCTTGAGAGTCTGTTTTTCAGATATTTTGGCAACAAATTTGGAGGCGGATTGTGGTTTCCAGGTTGCCCCACTTGTTGACCAGCAAGATTGGATTCATCATCATCACTATCATTATTGCCTAAGTCATAGGCATCAACCACTTCATCTTCCGATTCCCAAATGTCTGATGTGTCATCATGAGATGAGGCTGGTTCATCCCCTGCTGATTGGTGTGATTCATTACAATGCTGTTCCATTTTCTGACTGTAAGACAATAGGGCTTTCAGGGAAATTGGTGGAAGCAGTTTGGTGGACGGGGATGTTTGTTGATTGAATTCTGCCTTGGACAATGGTGACTCCTTTGAAAAGTTTGCTTCAACCGGGTAATGGCTAAAATAAGTGTTCTTTGGAAGACTGTTTGATGGCTTTAGAGTCATGTCTGAGATAATTGGGGAATAGTCAAGCTCAAGAGACATGTTGTTGTCATCTTCCATGGATACATCACTGAGTACCTCTTCCTCTCCTCCCTCTGGGAAATGATCGTGGTCACCTGGCTGAGAATCCAAAACAGTCCCAAGAGAGGTTGAAATGTCTATATCTGGCCAGTCAACCAAGTCCTGAGCCTGATAAATATCCAGGCATCTTCTGTTGATTCCAGTCATTCGGATCTTCTTGCTCTGAGACTGTTTTATATGGTTTATTAGACCGCTGGAGATGATGGTCCCACTAGTGAGATCTCTCCGAGCCACAAATGTTTTGGTGCAGCCCAAGCATTGCAGTGTCAGACAAACATTTGTAGGAGCTGAGGCTGCCCATAAAGACATTATAGGATACTGAGTTTATTATTGAATTTAGTGGCAGTAGGTTGCAATAGAAAGCATACAACAGTGGCTTATCATCAGGAGGTGATGAAATATGGCATGGGTCATTTCGGTTACAAAGGTCACAAGTGACAAACACAACGACAAAAAAAAGAGAAGGTTCCTAATGAGAAGGGTTCTCTGAAAGTAGGACATGGGTAAGTTCAATGTCGGAGGTCGCAAGTGACAAACAAAGTGACAAATCACAGAATGCTTCATAATCACATGGGCTCTCTGAAAATATCGCCTTCATCAATTCTAGGGGAGGTGACCCAAGCCCCCAAAAGACACGCCCTGCTGATTTTGGGGCATGGTCCCTTAAATATCAACTGACTTTCTTTTCCGATGTACCGGCCAAACCCCCCGGGTAAGGGCGAATCTACGGTATGGGCGCAACACCGCAGCTTCTTCCGCTCTCAGGGCAGACAGCGTATCCAAGGGAGGCGTTTATGGTGGATCTTTTACGTGCAATAACCCAATGGCGCGACGAGGGGTGTGAAGTGATTGTGGGCGTGGATGCTAATGAGGATGTCTTCTCATACCAGGATTCCTCTTTTTGCCAGCGACTTCGCAGCATAGGATTGGAGGAAGCAATCCTACAACGTCATCCAAGTCGAACTGCAGCAACCCAGCATCGCAACAAACGTGGCAGACCCATTGATGGGATTTTCGCAACTTCCAGAGTGGTGGTTAAAGCGGGTGGCTACTACAACTTTGATGAATTTTTTGCCTGTGATCATCGCGGTCTGTGGATGGATATTGATTTGGAACGGACTCTTGGAAGCTATCGTCCGGAGAAAACACCATACAAACCTCGCAAATTAACAATGCTTGACACTGCGGCTGTTCGACGCTATCTCCGGCTGGTTCACCAAGGCTATGACATGTACTCCATTCCATTGTGGTTGGAGCAGCTTCATAGACAATTAACATTAAACAGTGGGATTATGACGGAGAAGATGGGACGCCAGTATAACTGTTTGCATAAGCAGATGTACGATATTCGTCGGAACGCGGAAATGAGGTGTCAAAGGGTCACAAATGGGGCTGTCCCGTGGTCTCCCCAGATCCAAACTTTTTGGGACCGCCAGTCCCTCTGGAAGCTACTGCTGAAGGGAAGGAAGCAATGTCTAGTCAGCTCGCGAAAAATCCGCCGCCTTATGAAGAAGACTCAGTTGCCCGACGCGTGGAAGAAGACTACAGTTGAATTGGAGACGGCATTGCGTAATGACAGGAAGGAGTACCTGCATGCCAAGAAAATCCATACGGTTTCGTGGCGCAAGGAGTTCTTGACTGTTCAAGTGAAGAAATCTAAGAAGAAACAATGGACATCGCGCAAGGCTAGGTATCGCTTTTTGAGGTTACGGTGGATGAAGCAACGAGAGGAGGCGAGACGCCGCCGCTGCGCCCAGTCAAAAGGATCTACCGGCGGTTTGCAAGCGATTCAAGTTGAAGAGACGTTACCTACCGGACAAGTGGATCTGCGAACTCTCACCGACCGGAGACAAGTCGAGCAAGGGTGCATGCAGGAAAATCGCGCACGGTATGACCAGACTCGATCGCCCTATACGACTCCTCCCATGGACAATCCCTTGTATTCAATGTTCACCGGGGCAGACGCAGAGAGGAACTCCCACACACTTCTGGAGGGCCGCCTTCCCATGCCGGATGGGATCGATTCTTACACTAAGTCATTCCTGGAGCAGTGCCGTTTCCATCAAGGGCACTCTATGATCCCGATGGAAGTTTCGCCGGCCGATCATACTTACTTCTGGTCTCCTAATCCAGAGAACAAAGGCTCGGAACCGCATGGGCTTCATAACGGGTATTTCAAGGCTGGGATTTATTCCCCTATGGTGGCTCAATGCAACGCTCTCTTCCGCCACATACCCTTGACAACTGGTTTTGTCCCTGACAACTGGCGGCATCGGCTGAAAAAAATGCGTACGATTCAGCTCATGAATTCTGAATCTCAAGCGAACTACAAGAAATTGGGCCGCCTGGCAATGGCCTACGGCGAAGAACATCACATCTTGGCCGATGGACAGCGCGGGTCTAGAAAGCACCATCAAGCGATCGATCTTGCCCTGTCTAAACGTCTTGTGTGGGACCTTCTGATTCTCCAGCGGCGCTCTGCGGGGTGGATTTCAAATGACGCAAAGTCGTGTTTTGATCGGGTTGTCCATTGGGTTGCGGTATTAGCTATGATGCGCCTGGCGATTACTTGGAATGCGTTGCGCATGATGTTTGACACTCTCGCAACGTCCACGCACCGAGTGCGGACAGGCTTTGGTGACTCTGAAGAGAGCTTTCATCCTTCTTCCATGGTTCCATTTCAGGGTTGCGGCCAGGGCAACGGAGCGGGCCCGCCCATTTGGGTCTCCGTTAGCTCCGTCATCATACAGATGATGACCGCGATGGGCTTCGGCTTCGAATGCCTCACTGCGATTGATTCCCAACTGATTACCGCTCAGTGCTTCTGCTTTGTCGACGACACGGACGTGATCAAAGCGGGCAAGTCTGTGGAACAATCTGGCGAGGATATATGCCACTCCGTCCAACAAGCGGCTTCCACATGGGCTGGAGGCATTAGTGCTACTGGAGGGGCAATTAATCCAGAAAAGTCCTTTTGGTGGTTGATTGACTTTGTGTGGGAATCCAGAGAAGGCAAATGGAGGTTCCGCCGGACACACCAACTCCTACTGGATCATCCATTACAAATACCGGGACTAACTGGCGAATTGGAAGTCTTACGCCGTCTGGAGCCGGATGAGGCAGAGAAAACCTTGGGGGTCATGCTGGCCCCATTGGAAGATCAACATGCTCATGTTGTCCATCTCAAGAGTATTGCCAAAAAGTGGGCTGAGCAAGTGCGATCGGGGCATCTACACAAATACGATGTCATTCCCCTTATCAAAACAACAGTGATGAAATCCCTGGAATATCCTATGGTGTTAACTACACTGGATGCTGCGACATGGGTGTCAATTATGAGTCCTGTTCTCCAAGTCTGCCTGCCGAAGGCCGGCATATGTAGGAGCTTTCCTCGGGACATGGTTCTTGCCCCTCTCAAGTTCCAGGGTCTGGGTATCCCTCATCTGTTTGGTACTCAGGTGTCTAAACATATTGAGGTCCTGCTTCGCCACTTGTCCAACCAAACAAAAACTGGGGCGTATATGGAGGCTGCGGTTCAAGAACACCAACTCAAGACCGGCACCTCCTTTGGACTCTTCCAGCAGGACTATAGCAACACAGCAACTTTGGCGTCAGATACTTGGCTCAAAAGAGTCTGGAAAGAGTTGGAGGACTTGGATATCTATGTTGCCCTTGACTCGCCTGTCCTCCCTCTCCGGTGCAAAGGCGATGCCTTGCTCATTGAGGTATTCATGGAGTTGGAAGTGGATCAGGACGCTTTAAAATGGCTCAACTGGTGCCGTATGTTCCTCCAAGTTTGCACCATCTCCGACATTGTGACGGCGGATGGCCTCAGCATACGAGAGTCCATGTGGCATGGGGAACGTGACTACGCTCATTGGTCGTCATATCAATGGCCTCGCACTGTCCGGCCTAACCGGAACCACTGGAAGGTGTGGCAGGAGCACCTTACCCGAGCACTACTTGTCTCTGACGGACCCCAGCGCCTACTGCGTCATCCTCTGGGCCCATGGTTCGATCTTCTCGACAACTGGAACTGGTTATGGTCTTCTACTCACGGATTGTTCCATTGCAAGGGCCACGGGTGGCAACACTACCGTAACCGTCGCTCCTCCACACGGAATATTCAATGGGACTATCCTCGTTCTACGCAATTGTCCGGGTGCAAACGACCACATAACGAGCACACCGACAACGGCGTCAGCTTCTTGCCAGTCCCCTTTTGGACCCAACCACTCCCTGCTGACTTGTGCCGAGCTACTGTCCACATTACGCCTTTGTTAGGCACTCTTGCCCTCACCGACATTGGGACAGCATCGCTGCAACCGCATCACGACTCTCAACCGTCTTTGCTAGCCGCCTGGATGGCCGCCTCAGCCAGGGTGACCAAATATGTTGGCTGGACCCCTGAAGAAATTGAGATCGATGGCGACGAAAGCCTAGTTGTAGCAGCCCTACTCGAAGACCGGCTGTGTGTGATCAGCGACGGTTCTTACAAGCTCGGTCTGGGCACGGCAGCGGTTCAACTGCTTCCACGTAAGGGTGGCACGGAACGTATTATCGTCCGGTGCCAGACTCCAGGTCTAACTGATGACCAGAGCGCGTACCGGAGTGAATTAATTGGCCTACTGGCCGGTATCATGGTTGTTGATTGGCTCCTCGACCAGTGGGCCCCAACACTTCGATCACCACCCCGCGTTAGGATTGCGTGCGATGGATTTTCGGCGTTGCTCAACACCTTTGGTGACAATCGAGTCACACCGCAACAAGCCCAGTTTGACCTGGTCTCCTCTATCCGGGAGGCACTTGCCCGCTCTAGGGCCTCGTGGGAACCTAGCCACGTGTACGGTCACCTTGATACGGCGACATCCTTTTCGTGCCTCTCTTGGTGGTCCAAACGGAATGTGGAAGTGGATGCGTGGGCGGTTGCCTATTGCCACCAGCTCGAAGCTTCACACCGATTGATTGCACCTAACGCTCGTTTCTTTACCAAATTGGCTGCCCTCTACATCGGGGACGTCAAACAGTCGCGATTGAATCCAGAACAGGTCCAGGAACTGGTGGCGCTGCCTGCTCTACGCAAGCGATGGCACGAGCGGCAGACGATTACACCAGAGGCAGAGCTGGAGACCGATTGGACCAGTCTGGCTCGCGCCATGAGCTCCCTTCCGGCAGGTGTCCAACGTTGGACCACAAAGCATGTCGTGGGTATGTGTGGTGTAGGGAAGTTCAAAGTCCGGTGGGGTGCCGCAGACTCAGCTGCATGTCCCTGCTGCGGCGAGTTCGAGGACCACCTTCACGTTCCTCGCTGTACGGCGCCCTCGGTGAGTGCGGAATGAGAGCGCTGGACAGCGTCGTTGGACCAATGGTTGGACACCCAAGTCACTGACCCAGCCATCAAACACGCTATCCTCTACCTTCTTCAACGGGTTCGTGATCCGCCCCTACCTCGCAGTCGGTTTGTTCTGGTTCATCTTTGCCGCGTTTTCCTCTCCCAACAACGCATCGGCTACCGAGGTTTATTGGAAGGCCGGCTGTCTGTTCAGTGGGCGGCCCTGTAGGAACAGTACCTACAGTCACGAAGGAGCCAACGCTCGCCAACCCTGTGGGTCTCTCGCCTGTCGCATCAGCTGATCTTGCTTGGATTTCATATGTGGGAACACCGGAACTCGGTGCAACATTTGGAGGACAACGTACAGCTACGCGAACGTAGCCGATTGGTGAACCACCGTATACACTCTCAGTTTGATATGGGCCCAACCGACCTCCCCAAGGTAGTTCAACGCATGCTCGCTGTGAAACGCCGAACAGTGTTGAACAAGCCGTTGGTCGATAGGGAAGAGTGGCTGAAGCTGGTTAGAATGGAACCCAACGCCGTATTCTTCACCGCTTCTTCCACCCAGCCCCGGCCCCCTAATCCCGTTTCGAGGAATCAACGCCCCGAAATCACCCCACCTTGTCGCGGGTAGAGTTGGGATCCCGTCGATCCTGACTAGAGCAACTTCTGTCCACCAGATGTCTCCAATGGTTCAAACTAGTTGTTGACTCGTCGCTTCACGGTACTTGACCTTTACAGCCGCTTATTCCACTGGCAATCGTATGCGCTCGATAGCATTTAATCGATGCTATGCTGTGGCAACCGTCAAGAATGTCAAAGAGACTTTATAAGGTAACATGAATACACCAACAACAATGACCAGCGCTTACAAACCAGAGATGGATGGATCAAGCAAATTAGGACAAAAGGACCATATCTACTTCCAAGAGTTGATGGGAATGTTATGATGGGCAACAGAGATTGGATGAGTCAACATCTTATTGGAAGTCACACTACTGAGCCAGTATCAAGCAGCCCCAAGGGAAGGGCACATGGAACAAGCATTCAGGATATTTGCTTTCTTGGATCCGTTTCCAAAGTTGACTTTGTATTATGATTGGAGGGCACCAAACTTGGATTACTCCAAATTAAGGTCCTCTAGAGAGGATTTCCAAGCATATTATCAAGACACAAAAGAGGAAATGCCACACAATGTACCCAAACTAAGAGGACACAGCGTAGGGAGTACCGCATGGGTGGATGCTTCTAATGGTGCCAACAAGAATATGTGTAAGTCGCATACAGGTTATATGATTTTCCTCTATTAAGCTACAATATTATGGCAGAACAATAGGCAAAACACGGCACCAGCACCCTTGTTTTGGAGTTGATTGCCTTGAAAGCATGAATTAAAGCCATTGCACACTTGAGATTCAAGTTGAGGATGTTTGGAATCCCTTTGGAAGATGAACCAACACACATATTTTGTGATAATGAGAGTGTGGTGACAAATGCAACAAAATTTGAATAAGAGGGAACGTGGCTGCTGGAGTGGTTTATGTATCATGGATACCAGGGATGTCAAACCTCACTGATGCCTTCACAAAACAATTGACCTTGGAAAGGAGGGGACACCTATATGGTGAGTGGACATACTAGTCAAACTGCTGAGGTGAATTCCATTGTTGGAGCCCAGTTCAAGGGGATCAAATACAGGGGACTGTGCTATTGGATACAAGATATATTGCACTGATAAGGTCTGTGAGTAGTAAGGACAAATTGGCCACTGACAACTCACTCTTTCTAAGAATACCTTTGATTTACACTATTGTCCATTATACCTACTACTTTGTAAATCAGCCATGTTGCAGTGTTGTAACAATAATATTTATATTTAAGGGCATGGAACAATGGTGTAACAATATATAACTGATGCATTAATCATATTAAAACTATCTCAAGTTTCTAGATTGCCGTTCACAGCTGTCATGGCCATTTACCATAAGGAGGTGAGTCCAGTACTGTTGAACCAGTTTGAGGCATCCAATCCCAAGGAAGTTGCTCTTATCGGATATTACATTGCGCCCTTGTACATGTAGAAACGATCTTGCCACTCAAGGTGGCGTGTTTTTATTTTGTTTTGTAAGTTTTTTGAAGGTGGTGAAGGTGTAGCAGGTGGGAAGCCAATTGTTCTTGCGCCCTACTGCCATGGGTGTATCGATCCAAGGAATTGGAGAGTGTCCCAATGGCACAGTGTTCCAAAACAATGTGGCTACCATCTACGTGACAGACTGCAGTTCCCTAGTCCTGTGTTCAGCAGGGGGAGAGAGAAACATAGAGGGGCAGAGAGATGGCGGAGACACCTGACTGTTTATGGACTTGCGCCGGTTGGCCAAGTTGATGTGCGCTGCCTAGCTAGAGAGCGACGGCTGATCGCTCTCTCACAGGAGACAAGGTGGAGCCAATGTTGACGATCTTCAAGTGATTTGTTGAGAACAGTTTTGCCGGAGTCAAGAAAGAGGTACTGCGAGCGTGGGGGGATATCGACCAGGCCCATGGCAAACTGTTTGCGGATGCCAATGTCAATCTCATGCTTGCAAGCCATGTGCCAGGAACTGTCTTTGGAATGTACAAGCTGGTTGCGGTCTTTCCACATGTAGTGCCTGATCCGTATCAGTTGTTGGATCAGGTGGGAGGCCCAAAGGTTGACAGACGTCTTGGAGCCGATGTAGGAGAAGTGAAGGGCTTACAGGTTTTCCATTTGTGAAACACTAGGCCCTCAAGGAGGCCCTGGGCACCAAGCTCGGCTTGGGCTTTGGAAGAGATGGGACTGGCGGGACCGGGCTTGGACGGTGGGGACTCCCAAGGAAGGCTGGCATACTGTCTTCAGGTATTCAAAGAGGAAGGTTTCAATCTCTGGAGCGGTCTGCTGAGTTTGCATCCAGGTCCGGAAGAATAATAACTGAAACATGAATCGATTAAATGCTATCTAGTGCATACAACTGCCGGTGGAATAAGCGGCTGTAAAGGTCAAGTAGTGAAGCGACGAGTCAACAACTAGTTTGAACCATTGGAGACATCTGGTGGACAGAAGTTGCTCTAGTCAGGATCAAGGGGATCCCAACTCTACCCGCGACAAGGCGGGGTGATTTCGGGGCGTTGATTCCTCGAAACAGGGTTAGGGGGCCTGGTGGAAGAAGCGGTGAAGGATACGGCGTTGAGGCGCCAGAGTGCAGAGATAGGCCGTGCGTTCCATTCTAACCAGCTTCAGCCACTCTTCCCTATCAACCAACGGCTTGTTCAACACTGTATGGCGTTTCACGGCGAGCATGCATTGAACTACCTGGGGGAGGCCAGTTAGGCCCATATCAAAGTGGGTGTGTATACCATCGTTCACCAATTGGCTACATTTGCGTAGCTGTACGTTGTCCTCCAAATGTTGCACCAAGTTCCGGTGTTCCCACATATGAAATCCAAGCAGGATCAGCTAATGCGACAGGCGAGAGGCCCACAGGGTCGGAGAGCGTTGGCTCCCTCGTGACTGTAGGTACTGTTCCTGCAGGGCCGCCCAATGAACAGACAGCCGGCCTTCCAATAAACTTGGTAGCTGATGCGTTGTTGGGAGAGGAAAGCGCGGCGAAGATGAACCAGAACAAACCGACTGCGAGGTAGGGGCGGATCACAAACCCGTTGAAGAAGGTAGAGGATAGCGTGTTTGATGGCTGGGTCAGTGACTTGGGTGTCCAACCATTGGTCCAACGACGCTGTCCAGCGCTCTCATTCCGCACTCACCGAGGGCGCCGTACAGCGAGGAACGTGAAGGTGGTCCTCGAACTCGCCGCAGCAGGGACATGCAGCTGAGTCTGCGGCACCCCACCGGACTTTGAACTTCCCTACACCACACATACCCACGACATGCTTTGTGGTCCAACGTTGGACACCTGCCGGAAGGGACCTCATGGCGTGAGCCAGACTGGTCCAATCGGTCTCCAGCTCTGTCTCTGGTGAAATCATCTGCCGCTCGTGCCATCGCTTGCGTAGAGCAGGCAGTGCCACCAGTTCCTGGACCTGTTCTGGATTCAATCGCGACTGTCTGACGTCCCCGATGTAGAGGGCAGCCAATTTGGTAAAGAAACGAGCGTTAGGTGCGATCAAGCGGTGTGAAGCTTCGAGCTGGTGGCAATAAGCGACCGCCCACGCATCCACTTCCACATTCTGTTTGGACCACCAAGAGAGACACGAAAAGGATGTCGCCTTATCAAGGTGACCATACACTTGGTTAGGTTCCCATGAGGCCCTAGAGCGGGCAAGTGCCTCCCGGATAGAGGAGACTAGGTCAAACTGGGCTTGTTGCGGTGTGACTCGATTGTCACTAAAGGTGTTGAGCAGCGCCGAAAATCCATCGCATGCAATCCTTATGCAAGGTGGTGATTGAAGTCTCGGGGCCCACTGGTTCGGAAGGCCAGATGGCGTTTGGACCTTTCAGCAGCTGCAGTAGGGGCAGAACAGCGGGAACATGGAGGTGATCTTCCACAGGGCAGGAGGAGCATCTGGAGCATGAGCTCTTTGCCGAACGGTTCCAAATGGCCAAGAATTTTCCCACACCTGTCATACCGGAGATATGTTTGGGTGTCCAGCGTTGGAGATTTGCTGGGAGGGCCTTCATGGCGCGTGCAAGAGATAACCAATCGACCTCACGGATGGACTGCTCGGAGAGGCGGTCCTTGGAGGACCAATATGCTCGAAGGGCAGGAAGAGAGACCAGCTCCATGATGTGAGCCTTATCCAGTTTGGAAGACTTAACACCGTCGATGAATAAAGACACAGGTTCATGGAAGAAGCAGGGGTTGGAGGCAGCCGAGCGGCCTGTAGACTCCAGCAGGCGGCGGTAGGATTGTGCTTTAGATTTAACTTCAACATTGCGCTGCTCCCACCAGTCCAGTTGGGAGAAAGGTCGGGAGAAAGGTCGGTGCTTGTCCAGGTGACCTTTAACATGGCGCCGGTGAACTTGGAGGGGAAGGTGGCGAAGCAAGGCCCGGATGGTGTAGGCCAAGTCAAACTGGGCGCTAGACGAGGACAGATGGGCTTTGGAGAAGGACTTATCAACGGCAACAAGACCATTGCAGGCCATCTCGACCGACATTGGCTGGCAAAGAGTTTTAGTTGAGCAACCTGAGACATCCATTCCAAAACCAGAAGAGAAGCCATAAGGCCAATCAATTCAGTATGAGTCGAGCTCTGTTCTTCAGATTTCCCTGGAGTTTGGCAGGTGATCCAAATGATATCCTTGCAATCCTCAGTTAGAATTTGGGCGCATGCTGTGCCCACTTTAGCTTTGTATGAGCCGTCGCTCACAACATGAAGGGTACCGGCAAGAAGAGCCGGGACCAGGTAGTCCCCACTAGCTGCAATGGTAATGAACTCAGGAACCCAACCGTTGGAACCTGACTCAGCCATACTGCTGAAGTGGTGCCAGAGATCTAAGATGGAGGATGGAGGGACAGGCGCCTTTGGTGGTTGATGGAGGCCGGTATAGTTGAGGAGGACTTGGCTCTTGCGGATCAAAGACCGGCTGAGGAAGACAGAGACAGAGGCGTCCGCTGGTAGGGGTAGAAGGTCACGGTTGAATCGACGAGGCAAGTAGAAGGTGCTCTGACGGCTGGTGGAGAAGGAAGGCTCAGATGGGATCCAAATCTAACCCTCACGGTGGAACAGGGTGTTGATAGAGGGGGGGTATTGCCAGTTCCAGGACAAGTCAACAAAATGCCACGGGCCTAACCGAGAACTGAGAGGGCGTCGGTTGGAGTGGCCTGTCAGGCGAGTAGAGATCCATTGCTGCCATGCAGTCCACCACTGATTAGACGGATGAGCTGTACGGGGCCATTGGTACCAGTTGGAGCAGTTGTCTGCTCTTATCCCTTTCCATGCCTGCAAAGTGATCGCTGTCCCTTCAACATTCACGATATTGGGGAGATTGACTATGTGGAGGAAGAACTGACACCAGTTGAGCCATTTCAATGTAAGTTGGTCCACCAAGGAGTCGATGAACAAGTCCACTAACAGTTAATCCCCTTGGCGTATTGGTTGGAGGGAGGGGGAATCAAACTCCAGATGTATGGAGAGAGAATCAAGTTCACTCCAGTTCCGCTTAGCCCACGTGTCAGACGCCAGAATGGAGGTGTTGCAATAGACTTGTTGGAAGAGGCCATAGGAGGTACCGGTCTCGAGCTGATGTGCCTGGAGGACTGCCTCCAAGAAGGCGCCCGTCTTGGTGCTATTAGCAGGATGGCAAAGTAGCATGTCCAAGTGTTTGATGACTTGGAGACCGTATGGATGAGGGACACCCACTCCTTGGAGTGCAATGGGGGCATATACCATAGCACAAGGAAAGTTGCGACAGATACCAGCCTTGGGAAGTGCCGCCCTAAGAACTGGAGATAGCATCTGTTCCCACTCCAGTTGGAAGAAGAAGGTGAGCGCCATTGGGTACTCCAAACTCTTCTGGATGGTGGTGTGTAGGAGAGGAAGGACATTGTATTGCCCATGCTTTTGCTTTCCCCCGCATGACCACAAGTTGTGCTTTCCTGTTTGAGCAGGGAGACATCAGAATACCCAAAGTCTTGGCCAATTTGTCTGGTTCCAGTCACTGTAGATGGACTGGGGTGCCATCAAGATCAGAATGGAGGTGTTGCAATAGACTTGTTGGAAGAGGCCATAGGAGGTACCGGTCTCGAGCTGATGTGCCTGGAGGACTGCCTCCAAGAAGGCGCCCGTCTTGGTGCTATTAGCAGGATGGCAAAGTAGCATGTCCAAGTGTTTGATGACTTGGAGACCGTATGGATGAGGGACACCCACTCCTTGGAGTGCAATGGGGGCATATACCATAGCACAAGGAAAGTTGCGACAGATACCAGCCTTGGGAAGTGCCGCCCTAAGAACTGGAGATAGCATCTGTTCCCACTCCAGTTGGAAGAAGAAGGTGAGCGCCATTGGGTACTCCAAACTCTTCTGGATGGTGGTGTGTAGGAGAGGAAGGACATTGTATTGCCCATGCTTTTGCTTTCCCCTTCATCACCACACGTTGTGCTTTCCGGTTGGAACAGGGGGACATCAGGATACCCAATGTCTTTGCCGATTCATCCGGCTCCAACCACTGTAGATGCACTGGAGTGCCATCCAGATTGTCCAGTTCAACCGCAATTTCCGACATTCCTGTTGAAAGAAGAGATGGTTTGAGATCCCCCTTCTGCCGGAATTTCCATACACCCTGTTGGGCATTCCACTTGAAGTCAATCAGATACATAAATGACTTATCTGGTTGGATGGCGCAACCGGTAAGGCGGACGCAGTTGGACCACCATTTCAGTGCTTTGGCCACCTCGGGGAGAATAGATTCCCCAGACTGGTCAGGAGACGGTGCCGCTTGGCAGACATCAGTGTTATCCACAAAACAGAAGCGATTGGCCAGGACGGGGGCCCAAGATATTGACGTCAGGAAGTAGCCAAAGCCCTTGCTGATCATCATCCCCAAGAGAATGGAGCTAATTGCTACCATATTGGAGGTCCTGCGCCATTGCCTTGTCCACATCTTGAAATGGTATCAGGGTCGGAGGAGTGAAGACACAATCTGAGTCACCAAACCCCGAACGCACCCGGTGCTTAGACTTCATCAGGGTATCAAACATAGAGCGGAGGGTACTCCATTGGATCCCAAAGCGCATGAGGCTAATGATTGCCACCCAGTGGACAATGCGGTCAAAGCACAACTTGGCATTGTTGGAGATCCACCCTGCAGGGCGGCGTTGGAGATGCAAGAGCTCCCAGGTGAGACACTTGGTAAGGCCAGATCAGTGGCCTGGTGACGCTTGCAAGACCCGTGTTGTCCTTTTGGGATCAGTTTGTGTTTCTCTGCCTAGGCCATGGCCGATTTCCCCACTCGCTTGTTGTTGGCCTGCAGCTCTGAATTCACCATTTGGATCATGTGCATTAGGTCTACCCAAATCTTGCCTGGTTTCTTTGAGCAAGTGGCACCACTGGGCTGGGACAAATCCTATAGCAAGACCCTGGAGCAGTGCTTGGCTGTTCTGTTCTGTTCTGTTCTGCCTTGGGGCTGTTGAAGTCGGAGTACAAGGGTTCCGTCATTGTATGGTTCTCACATTGCATAGAAACACCTCCTAAAAATTACTTATCGGATATCTGGCTCACAGGAAAACTAAGATGTTTCATTTGACTACTCTATTGAGTCCCAAATGACAAATAAAAATGAGGTCTGTTTGGGAACAAAAAAAACAAATTCAACAGTTTGTGATGCTAGTGAAGCTTTCCATCAATATCTCTAAATATACAACGAATTTGTTGATAAAAATGCACGGGAGAGGAGAAAATGTATAGAGGAAGATACTGTGTGAATTTTGTCAGTGTTGAAAGTCGCTTTGCTGGGCAATATGGTAAAGTTGAAAAAGCAGAAATAAAATCACAAGCAGTCTTTCCATAATATATCCATCCATACTAAATTTGAAATTACAAAATCGCAGCAAATACAATGAATCATGTGTACAAAGATAAATCTTTAACCGTTTCCTGGTCAGACAATACAAATCAATACATTTCGTAGAACTGGTACAAACCCTATGTAGTCAAAGTAGTCAAACTGATTTATCCAAATAGTCAGGTCCAGATCTGCTGTTTAGAGGCATTATCAATAACAGGACAAGGGCCCACAATTGAATGCAATAGATTTGAAAACACTTTCCTATGTGTGAATAATTGGTTGTTCCTGATAATTGATGCTGTGTTTCCCATTCCCGTAGCAAATGTACTGGATCCACATGAGAGAAACTAAAAAAGCTCTATGTTTGAACGTCAAAATCGGAAAGTGGCTTCCAACAACACTTTCCCCACATATACTCATATTGGACATCTTCTTTGATATAAATGACTTCCAACTATGTGTTCAGTTCTTTGGTGGCCAAATTTTGGCGAATAGTATTTAGAGGTTGAAGGTATTATTTTGGAGCAGTCGGTGTAGTCGATTTCACGTACATTTTTTACTGGATCTACGAATGTATTGATTTGTATTTCCTGACCAGGAAACGGTTAACCATTCATCTAGCAATAGTCTCCCTGGTGAGCGACAGGGGGAAGATGAGCAACAGTTTTGCAAGCAACAGTTGAAATGATGATATGTGTGAATATTTGTTGAAGCGGACAACGCAAAGGCCATTTGTATTATATGTATTCACACATGAATATATTCCGCGCCAGGAGGTTCCTTGGTAGGAAGTGAGCACCATACATTGGTGGGGTGGAGTAGGGGTATCAAATCTGGTCATACCAGAGCCAATTCTCCTGCATGCAGCCCTCCTCCACCAGGCGTTTAGACTGACATGTTACCCAATGGGAGGAACCATCTTCTGCCATCTGGGCCACTTTAATCCGCTGTAGGCCGCCAGAAAGGCCTTTGCCTTGGGCTCTCCTTTGCCGTCTGGTCTCCTCCTTCTGTGCCATCCATTGGACTCGAGTCCGTCTGGTACGAGCTTTAATTTTGCCCTTCTTTGCTTTCTGGACCGCTGCCGATCGGGTCTCCAGGTGTGAGTGATATATGACCTAATGTAGTACCTAAGCCATAGTTTCCAGTATACTCGTATATGCGTTACTATCACTCATCACACCAACATACTCTAACAGGTTATGAGCAAAATTTCTGCTTCCTCACAATAAGATAAGGAATCAGAGAAAGGACATAGCTTTAGCCGAACAAATTTTGGATTAGAACTGACTTCACAAACAGCACTAACCCAACAAGAAATTTTTGACCAATTTTTCAACAAAACGGACGCATAGGAAAAATACCACTCCTACGATGAACACGATGTTTTTGTAGCAACTGGTAAAAGGTAATAAACAAAAGCACTCATCAAACAACAAACAAAAACACCAGAAACGAGACATTCTGGTATCATGCTACCAATCAAGTAGAAACAGGCAACAAAAAGCAAGTCGAAGGAAAAATTCAAAAATGACCTGTTGGCACTGGAGGAACGGGAAATACTAAGAAACACAATCAAGTATCCTATCAAAGAATGGACATATAGATTCCATGACAGAGAGGAAGAACAAACAATTTACAAATTGATCGCTATAAGACTCGCTACAGCCCAAACATGACGGATCTGAAAAAAGCTGGCAGCAGAGATTTATGACACCGGTCATCTCCATATTCAACAGAACAAAGGCACTAAGTATTTTATAGAACTCAAAAACCACTTCTGTCAAGAATTTGATGAAGAAAGCGGAATCTTCAAGAAGAAGGACTTACCCAGCACCCAAGAAGAGTCAAATCTGAAAATCAAAACAGACCTCAAAGATGAAACAGGCAACGACAATACTAGCATTTTGCCACGACTAAAAATCTACAAAAAGGAGCTCCTGAAAACGTTCAAAGAAACAATTACCTAAGACAAAGAAAAAGAGGAGGCGACAATATTGACGCCAAAAGCAAACAATATGAAGGACGATAGTAAGGGTAAGCAAAACGGAATCAACAACATCACAGATGACAGTATTGGATCAACCAAAGACAGCTTCATTTTTCAAACTATGGAAAACGAAAGCAATACTAACAATGAAGAAGAAGATACGGTCTCATTGACTACATTGGATGAAGAAAACGCCGTACAATGCAAAGTACAAATTTCCTACACAGAAGAAATGATCCAATCAGAAATTGGAAAACTAACAAGAAAAATGGATGGGACCCAAGCACACATCCAAACTCCACATTGAGCGACTCACAGCACAAATGCAAGAGATTGTAGCCACAAACAAAAGGAAACAGGAAAATACTCCACACAAGTCAACATGATGAACCAAACAATCATTGACCTGAAGCAGCAAGTAGAAATGCTCTAGCAGGAGTTACAAAAGAAAAAGGCAGACAATGGCTCAGCTGAAAGACGCATTGAATCCATTTGCAAGAAAGCAAAACAGGTCCAGAGAAAAGTTTACAAAAGTACCAAAGCCAAGATGGATGAGGCGCTGAATATCCAAATGGAATTGGAAACAGCATCAAAATTGGCAAAAGCAATCTACAAGGAGGCAAAGGAACAAAAAGCACACCACAAAACAAGAAATCTTACAGATCCTTGATACTGAAAAGAAATACTGCATCAACAAAATCCACCACAATAATGACATGAAGGAAGATGAGATCACGGCAATGGCACAAGGACACCTGCATGCATCACCGGCAGAATTCAAAGAGGTAATGAAAGAAGTGAAGAAAAAACAAATGGCAGAGATCAAACAGTCGGTCCGTCAACAATTTCAGAAAACACTCCCAAAATACCTCTCTGCTCTTGAATCATCAAACAACAAAATTCTTACAGATGCAAAGGAGAGAATCAATAGTGCTGTTGCAGACCAACTCCAACAGCTGCAACAGAAGATTGGCAGACAAGAATGCGACCTAAAGGATGGTATTACAAAACTAATAACAAACATAACAAACAAGGTCATGAATCTACTCAAGACTAAGCAGAAAAAGGAAGCCTCCAAACCAAAGAACCACAAAAAGTCGCTCCAAGATGCATAAAGCACACTGGCAGAAGAGACAAAGACATTAAGCCCACGATTGGAAGATCTAGCCACAGAAAAACAAGTCAAGATCCAGAAAATGGGAAAACTATCCAGGAAAAGCTCCAGCTAAGATATCAAAGAAGAAGTGGCACAACAAGCAGGACTTGAAGCCAATCAACATGTTGAAGACACTATGGCGGAACAATTTGACTCCACAGCAACACCAAATCCATATTCCACCAAAGCTATGAAGACCTTTCACCGTGATAAAATGAGTAGCAACATCCGAGACTTTGACAAGGACTGCAACGCAAGCACACACCCACATGATGTGCTGAACAAACAAGAATCCAAACAGTTGTTTGATAACTTGTGGACTACAAGCAGAACAACAACTTGCCAATCCTCTATTGGGGATAACTATGGGATGCTGGAAATATGTTGTCCGCCCACGACAGGAACAACTTCCCTTAAGAAATTGGACAAAATTGTACAAGAAGATCAAACAAATGCTCCATGAAGATGACGTCCGAGCTCATTGCGCCCTGGACAGCCACTCCCCTACAAGAGATGGCTATCGAACACTATATGATATCCTCCAATTGTATCACCCGCACCACAAGAGAGAGCAACCCAAATGGGGCCCTATATGGTTACCCAAAATGACCCCCACCAAATACGCCATGAAACTAAAATACAAAGCGGAATCTTTGGTTTCATACCGAGCGCATTCAGAAGTCCCAAGAGGACATGGTTACTGAAACAATCGTACAAGCAGCCTCCCTCGCAAGATACAACCACATCACGGGACCCCTGATGCTTAAGCTGAACATGGAAGGTAGACAGGGCATCCAGGGATACTCTCTACCACCCCTCTAGACAATTTTGGAAAATGTTACCAATGGGGCCAACAATGGAAGAATGGAAGACCTCCTTGACCCATCCAATGGATTGGCCATCAGCAAATTCAACAGCAAAGCTCGAAACCCCAACTGACCAAAAGTACAATGCAAAATGTGTGGATCCAGTGGACACTTTATAAAAACGGAACATACTTGCTGGTCAGCCGGCAAACATGATTGATAAAACCAAAGTGAACCCCAAAAGACTCTTTGGCAGATCTCATAGGCCTGGCGGTGAATGGTGTTGAAGCGGTCTTTCTGGTTCACCGTCAGATAACCGTCCTGCACCAAAATGTCCTCCACTAATTAAGTCAAGCGTTGGGGAAGGCGGAAGTGGCAGAAACCCACTTCAGCATCTTGGGTATAGCGGTCAACCAAACGGCTGTCAGCCAGTGTCAGGCAACATGGGTGGAAGGAGGGGGAGTTGATTGGTGGAGCCCCAAGAGTCGCTTCCAGGTCAATGTCAATCCAGAGTCCCCTGTGGTCAGACATAATGCTGCTGGAAGTCCAAGTATCCTCCTGCAGTGACGCGGACCCCATCAGTCACAAAAATACCGTCAATGGGAGTGTCCGTCATCCAACTTTGGGTTGTCGCTGGGTAAGGGCCCTGATGTTTGCGTAGATGGCCTTGGTCAGACCTTCAGACCTCATCTCTTCTTCATTTGAGTCTAACCCCAGGAGAATCTCACATCCTTCTGCTTTCCATTTTTTGATCAGGTCCACCAAATCCAGTGTGAGCTTGTCATGGGGATCCATAGTCACCCCCTTGCTCAGCTAGTAATTGGTAGCTCCAAATACTACCCGCATTGGTACCCTCCGTGTTTGGACGATATGCAGAGACCACCACAAGATCTAAAGGACCAGCCGAGGGCCCATCAGTCTGAGACCCTGCCCCGGATCTTGATTCATGAGAACCTGCCCAGCCCTGTCTCATCTTTGCCGCCTGACTTTGCCCAACACGCGACCTTGTTGAGTGATGTAGCGGAACATCTGCCCCATTGATGCACCAAGGGAGTTGGAAACTTCTGATGTTTGTGGTACGACACTGAAGAGAAATGTCCCTGATTTGTGTAGGACTTTACCCAATCAAACCACTTGTGTCCACCTGGCACTGCTGACCATTGAAGGTTAACTTTGGCCAGCAATGTAATGCCCACTCTCTCATCCGTCCAACACTTGAAGAGCCCTTTCTGTTTCTCATTTGTCATGGGGAATGGAAGCCCCTGAGCATTTTGAAAAAGGACCCAGGTAACTTGAGGAGACTTCTGGCGTGAGTCATCGCCAAAGTAGTTACCAGGAGGGAGAGAGTTTAAATAAGCATCCAGCAAGGAGTGGGCCACCTGGCTGGATGTGTTTTGGTTTCATAGATTTTGACCTTGGCCTTCTGTCAAACGCCGCAACCTTGTGTGACGGGACCACCCCCACTGTCAGCTGGTGATGTTGCTTTGCTGGAGGAGGGGCTTGACAAACGGTGCTTTCCTGTGATCAATGCTTGTTCAGCCATTTTGGCCTCAAATTCCAGGATGCGAGCATCCTTGGCAGCCTCCGCATCCTTGGCTTGAGCCAGTTCTTCCGCCGCAGTCTCTAATTCCGTCCAAAGGTCGTTGACAACTGCTTTCATATTCTCCAATAGTGCTGCCATATTTGTGGCGCTTCCTACTGTAGCACCGTTGTTTATATCCTTGGCAGCTGGCATCACAAGGTCAATGGTGATGGTACCCTCAAATTTAGAAGAAGCCTGCTCTGCCGCAAGGAGCTTCTCAATCCACTCATTATCATCCTTCTCCACTTGCTGATCCAACTCTACATCCCGTTCATACTCCGAGATTGCCAGATGTTGGCTTTGGTCCCAGGTCATTGCATTAGTAACTGTCCGATTATAATGGTCCAGGCAGAGCCATGTGCGGCAGGTCTTCCTCTGGTGTTTCAGGTCCTAACATGTACAGTGTTTAGGTTAGAGGATGGTGGTCCAGTATCCAACTGTAGGTCTGGCTGCAGGGCAATGTGCTTAGCTTGGTTTGAGGCAATTGTCCAGGCTGGCTGTCTTCAATCCTTTTGCGCCTTTTCCATAATGCTTGCAGTTCAGTTGGGGTTGTATGTGGTACTGCACTTCTTCTGACTCTCAATGACAATGGATGCATAAGCGGCTGGTTTGGCGTCTTCTTGAACCGCATCAACGTTGATTGCTCCAATATTGTATTTGGTTTGCATGGCAAGATTGTTAGAAGCATCAGCAAGAAGTGACACTAGCAGTGCATCCTTCTTCACTTGCTCAGATGATTTCTTGTCCTTTTTTACTTGCTTTCAGGGCCTTAGCAACTTGCCTCTGTTTCTTGCTATCTGTTAGCAGGATGCCTGCAGCTTGGGCTGCTTTGCCAGCCAAAGTCAGGTTGCAAGCTCCTTTCCACTCTTGCATTGTGCATCATGTTATCATACTTAGTGAACTCTGATAGCCACTTGTCATCACCAAGGTAGGTTTTGATAAGGGCAAAGAAAGCCTTTTGGCCTTGTCCCTTTGCCTGCTGGAAAGGCTCCATACAGGAGACATAGTTCATGGATCTCAAAGCTTCATCAAGCTTCTGAAATAGAGTCTTATCATCCGTTTTGAAGGATGAGTGCAAATGACTTGCTCTGAGTTGTTGCTCATCCCAATGAGAACCATAGACTTCAGCAAAGGCTTTTTTTCCTTTCAATGGAGGTGCAGGATCAACTGGCGCTTCCTCTGGGCAAATTACATAGTACAGGGTGATTCCAAATCTTGCTGACTTGGTAGTCTGCATTGCAATCACAAACACGGAGAACTATTTCATTGGTGGAAGGGCTTGGCTAATTGTGGGAACTGGCGGTGCAGGCCTTCCTTCAAGGGAAACAATGGCCTTCCAGTCCTCGGCAAAATATTTCAATGTGTTTTCATAATGCATCATTGTGGCAGTGATCTTGCAACAAACTAGCTTGCAGTTGCAAGATGCTTCAAATGCAATCACAAGGTGTTTGAACAAATCTTGACCAAAATAAGGAATGTTTTAAATGTAGCTGATTTGCTTACTCATGGCCAATAAGTCATCCTTGGTGTAGTTGGCAAAACTCTTGAATGTGGTCAAGCCATCAAGTTCCAACTGGCCTGGTATGTCCTGCACAATGCGCATCTGGACTTCTTGCTCCCAGAAAGCAGTTATCGCTGCTGGTTTCAATAACTTATTTGGGTGAAGATAAACTTAATTGAATAGTTGTGGAAGGTGAAGATGATGTATTACGTTGCTGTTGTGAATTGTTGTCGGATTCCTTTGAATTGTGATATGGATAAAATGTTTATCCAAACAGATCATGAACATTCCTCGCCAATATATTCATTACTTATTGACCGTACATGATAGAGAACAAGCTGAACATCTGCTTGTGTCCCTTACTCATCATGTGACATCTACAATATGCCTGACATCAAAATACCCACAATACCATATATTAATAATGCAAGGAACATTCTTAAATCCCTACAAAACAAGACCATACCTATCTATTGATTCTTGAAGTGTGACCAAGAAGTCCAAATTTGTTACTCCCCCTAAAGTAGGAAGGTAATATGTTGTTGCATTGTGCAGTGGGACATATGGAAGGTTAGATTTGTCAAGATTGTAATATGTCTTCGCATCATCAGGGCATGCATAAAAGCGAGCAACCGCTAGAACCTTGTGACAGCTAGGAACACACGTGCGGAGACCACACAAATCGCAAAAATTTTCAACAGCGCAATTCAACAGCCGAGCAAGCTGTTGAAATTGCTTTTCTTCTGATTGATTGCGATCAATATACCCATGTTGCTCCACAGCTTGCATGCTGTTCATGATCTCAGTTTCATAATAACGGAGGTGGAAATGAAATATGGCCAGCTTTGTGTATCCTATTAGATTAGACGTGCTAACATGACCACCAAGATTAATGGACAGAGTACCATTTTCCAGATAGCCCGACTTGTAGACGGCCTTATAAATACCATCACCAGCAAAACGGATTGGTCCAAGGGGGAAAGATTCTGGAGAGGAGTTGATGTCTTCCTGACATATTTCCTTTGATGGAAGAGACGCTTGTAAATATCCAACCCTTGCTTGCCCTGCCATATCATTTCCATGCACAGTGAAATTGAAAAGATAGTCAGAAACAGAAGTTTTCAATGAATTAGAGCCATCGTCGTAGACCGCTAGAAATTCGTCAGTGTCCATCTTCATAACATAGTCGGAGCTACCAGCAATTTGTTTTCCTAATGCAGTCAACAATATTGATAACTTGTTCAAATTTGCATCAGTGAAAATGACATTTGCACCAAGAATATCTCTTGCATAGTGGAGATAGGAAATGCACTTGGGATTTGTGCTTCCATCGATAATGTAAACGTTCTCAAAGCCCAAGAGAAGGCCATGATACTGATCCACACCAAAAACAAATGAATATTAGAGATGATCTTTCCAATGGAGTCAATTTTACGTTTTCCAAGTACTTACTGCAACCCAATTTGTAATCAATGGCCACTCATTCCGTGTCATCATGATCACCTTCAAAATCTTTGATCCATTTGAAAAGTAGAATCAACTGGTGGAAGTGCTCGGTAGGGATGACCATCCACTTGAAACTGTTCAATAGGACCTATATTCACGGAATCGATTCTATCAGGGAATTGATAGTTCGCATGATCCAGGACACTCAGCCACGCTGTAAGGGCCTTCACATCATGTAGTTGGATATAATCGCGTTCAAAAAGTTCAATCCACAATTCCAGAATCATTTCTTTCAGTGATTGCGTCTCCGATGACCAACCATTGAGAAACTCTAACAGCCGAGATGACTTGGTATACAAATCTTTTTCGGCCTCAAAATCTGACAAGTAATCATGAGGCGACCTTTTATGTACCACAATGGGTGGTGTAAAAATAAGATGAAGCCCAATCTCTTTCATGATTCTTTGTGTTATGTAACCTCTCCAAATATCAGTGACTCGACCAGGAACCGTAACAGGGAGATAGAGTCCCCAAAAAGCTTTGTAAAGGTGGGTAGTTGCCTGTGCATTGTATGGTGAGTAAGCTGATGAAGGTACCAGCAGCGGGAAAGAATCAACTGAATGATCAAAGGTAAATTTCGTGGAATCCAACCTTGTCATGCGGAAAACTGCGTCATTATCAGGGTCGCCATTGCAAAGCGATTGGATAACTCCAATGGAAGAGTACTTGATACTCCCAAATTTTGTTGGAATTTCACCCCATCCCTTCCAGCTTGCCTGGACCTCATCAATTGGAAAGCCACGTGGCCATGAGTATGCGTGACTTGCATTCATCAAGCTGTAGGGATTGAAAGGAAGCATGTCGGGTTTGCTCTCTTGAGGAACGAATCTTAGAAGGACGCTCTTTTTACTGCCCTCAAAATCTCCATTGTCATATTCTAGGAGAAATGGAGGTCTATCTACCTCGATATCCTCCAGTGGTTCGAGAACATTGTCATCATCAAAGTCAAAAATAACACGAGCTCCTTGGGTAACGGCAAACAAGTAACCAATATTCTTCCTTGCGAAACTGTTGAATGGCATCATGCTCATGAATGAGTGGCGATTCAACATGAGATCCTTCTGATACGCAGCCGACAAGTAAAAGATATTTTTTTTTGTGGCAAGTTCGTAGTAAGCAGAATCTGAAGTTTTTGTATCTCCAACAATCACAAGGCACCAATTCTTCAAGCGAGAAACTCTGAAAATAGATTCATTGGGTTCAAAAATCGTCGTAACAACTGCCCATTGCAAGCAACGCGAAGAATTCTGATCTGGAAAGAGTTCTGCGCTGTCATTGCTCCATGCTCCATGAAGGCCACAATCATCACACCTTCTAACCTTTTCACCAGTGAAGCGAGATCCCGTAGACCCAGAACTGAATTGTAAAGCATCATCGTCTCTAGATTTGGTGGTTCGACGCCCTTGCAGCCAATATCTGGATACTTCACAAGATATTCGACTATTGATCCAAACCAAGATTGCTAGGATACATAGAATGCTTAAATATTTCATTGTTGAAACCTTTTACAAGGGTCGACCTTTCACAAGACAATTTAGTCTTTATGATCAAGGGGAACGTCTTCACCACAACGTTAACCCAACCTTCACAGAAGAGTCAAAGAGAAAATTGTAGATGTGTATACCGGTAGAGCACTTGAAAGTGCTGTCGTGGACCTTTTGACCAAGGTCTAGTTCTGTACCCAACCGAAGGAGCTTATACAGTCCCAATACCTTGGGCCTATTCTATAGGCCGTTTCATCTTGTTTTGGGCCATCTATGTTTCTCTTGCAACAGCTTCAGTTTGAGTTGGAGCGTTCAATCTTGGAGCAATCGCATTGAAGTCGATTGACTTTCCATCGCGAATCGATTTCACCATGTCTTCGGAGCACTTCATTCCGGAAGCTTGGATGTAGTCGATCAGCACTCTTTCTTCGGCATCTTTGTACGACGATCTTGCCTTTCCATCGTTTTCATCTTTCGTTGAAAATGGATGTTTCACAACTGTTGAACTTGAATTGCTCTTGAATTTCTGAAGAGTCACACTTCCTCTTCCACCACCGGATGAAGAACGTCCCATCGTCAACGAATCACTCACTCCTTTGTAGATCAGGCAGTGCTGTTCTTGGCGTATTTTTGTTTTGTTGCCTTTTGTGAGTGAATGTTAGAATAATGCAAAATGTGCTCTATCGTAAATTTGTAATTGACTGTACAACACTTTCACGACAATAGTTCTCCTGTGTTACCTAACGCTTTCATTCAAACTTATATGCCTGAAGCGAAGGAAGGAGAAGATCGTATCTACATGAAAATCACTGGCATGATGGTCCAGATATTGATTGACATGGCCCCAGAGTATCGCAAATACGTTGTATTAGAGAACGGAAAGCGAGTAATCTATGTGCGGGTACTACGTGCTATATATGGGATGTTGCAATCGAGCATCCTATTCTATAATCAGTTTTGAAGTGATTTGGAGGCAAAGGGATTTGTTTTCAATCCGTATGACCCGTGTGCTGCTAACAAAGTTGTTGATGAAAAACAGCATACTATCAGATTTCATGTTGACGATCTTATGTCAATGGATCCGAAAGTAAATGACTAATTTGCTAAGTGGTTGAACATGAGATATGGTTCGATCAAGGCATGTACAATCGTCAGAGGAAAGATACACAGATATCTTGGAATGACTTTGGATTTCTTGGTGAAAGGAAAACTCAAGATCCGCATGGATGACTATGTCAAGAACATGTTGGAAGATTTTCCTATCAAGTTCAACAAGGATTCAAAGCAGGAAACACCAGCTGGTAACGATTTACTGGAAGCTGGTAAAGGGAAGTTACTCAGTGCTGAGTACCCCAACCCTAACCCTAACTGACAGGAATGTACAGCAACATGTCATGAGCAAACACGACTTCACCTGGAATGTTGTTTTTCATAGAATGAGAAACAGCACATCATGTCATGGCATGATTGCATGTTGCAAGAGCATCATCGACGGCTTGATTTGCTGTCTGAATGTTTGGAGCCATGTTAGTGTTGTTGAATCTTGTTTGTAGGATGTTGCCAACAGTTTGATGCATACATTCACAGATAGCGGCAGTTGGATTCTTGCTTGCCGCTGATGCATCCTGAATTCCCCACTGTTTCAAATGAAAATGTGGCCAATGAATTTGCCTCCTTGGTCTTGTATGCACTTGTAGGGTTTTGGATATGACTTGAGCTGAAGTTTTGTTCTCAATGCGTGAAAGTTCAGTGAGATTTGTCACCGGATCAATACAACTGAGCACATTGAATTCAATGTCTATACTGTTGACCTTGATTTGCCAAGGTTCAATCAAATCCACAGCCACAGAAAACCACAGGACCAAATCTGCGTGTCTTTCAGGCAGATGTCCATATTGAATGTTTGCATTTTTATTCACTTGGCAAACTTCACATCTGAGGGATTCAACTTTTCTAGCGGGAGCATAGAATTGTAGAACAATTGTATCATACAAAAGAGGTAGTACCTCAATGTCCAAGTACCAAATGATACCACACAGTCACTGGAGCAACCAAAGTTTCAGGCAAGTGAATTCTCCATTTGTTAGGTTTGTTCAAATCTGCATGATAGCAGATCACATTTCAATTGTCAATTTGCATGATGGGATATTGAGCCCGAGTTGCTGTGTTTTGCGAGTTTTGAATGAGGGCAACATCTTGGAGCTGATTTTGTTGAATGTTTGCCAGTGTGATTGGATTTGGCATAACTTCCAATGGAGGATGATTCAAAAACGATTCATGCATCTAATCATTTCTATAGCGCCATGCCCATGACACCATCTTGACAACAAGCAAATATACATCTGAAGGTGCAATTGAATTCTGCTTCAGATGGAGGAGGAAGAAGAACTTCTTCTTTGAAAGGATACATTTCATCCTCAGGATCCATTTTGACATTGAGTTTGTCAAATGCGATCAACTTACCTTTTGAAAGCAAACTCTTCCCCTCAAACGGAAAGTGAGATTGTTGTGATCAGTAAAAATAGTCAGTTGTTTGCCGTAAAGCATGGATCGAAACTCTTTCAAGCAATGCACAATAGCCAATATATATTTTTCCACGACGACTCCAGTTGCGATAAATCCTTTCTTCATTTAATATGTAACGTGTATATATAACCTAAGACGGTCATATCAAATCTTCCTGATCCCCTTGGATCAATGCCCAAAATTTGCGGAACTTTTCCCCTTGCAAAGGTTTCGTCATATATTCCCCCCACATGTCATCGGTCGGCATGTGTTCAATCGTAAGATTTCCTTTCTCAACCTGATCAGTGACAAAAAAATAACGGATGTTCAATGCGCGGCTTCTATTTCTAGCTCATCTTCATATTGATTTGCCTCGCTATCGTATCTTGGGTTCCTGTCCCTGTCGAACCTTGCTTCCATGATGTCTGCTTCAGCATCCATTAGTACTTCATCAAGTTTGTCATCTGGAATATTTTCATTTCGGAGGGTTACATCACTCAGTCTTACGATTTCGTTTACTGGTACAAAGTTTTCATCCCACAGTTCACCTGGGTCCACTCCTTTGAGCGTAATTCCGTCACTCCATCCAATCTTGCGTCTTCTTCTATAATCTTGATGACTTGGTCCGTCATCGGAAGAACCTTGATCTTTGCATGTCGTGCCTCGCACTTTGTGTTCAGATCATAGATACGGTGTCCTTCTTGAATATTGTAGGTGGGTCCCATGTAAACACCTTCGATTGTTTGAGCAGCCATATTATTCTTATGTCACGTTGCCACGGAGGAGGATATTCCTCTCACAGAAAAGCCACACTCCCCGTCCACTCCGGCACAATCCAACAAGCCAGGCCCCCTCACCTCCCCACTGCCGGGATCTCCTTCTCCACCTGGGCCCAAGACAATGTTACCACCTCAGAATGCCGCCACTCGCCCCAAATCCTTGGTCGAGTCGGTGACTCCGGACCAAGCCCCGAGGACGGCACCTACAGCACGTCCTCCCAAGCGGGACGGTGGTACCAATGCAGAGTCTATCACTCCGTCCTTGACTGACACTCAAGGATCGGGGAGCCAATCCGATGCATCTACCCCGTCGGTCTTCCCCATCTTCCGCCACCCTCAACAGTCTCCTCCCTCCGTCCCGGTTAAGGGTAAGAAGGATAAGAAGACATCATTGGCCGGCCGTGGAGCTTCCCGCTCCACGGCAGGGCAATGAGAGGCCCTCGATCGTCTGCCGCTAGGTCACGGCGAGCAGGCAGACGATCAAGAACGAGTGGCCCCTCGACGGGTGTTCCCCATGCATCAGTTGAGGAATTTCTAAGTTCTCTTTCCCCTGGTGATTTTTTTGGCGATGATCACAGATGTCATCTACAGTCGTCGACTCGCCTTGTCTTTCAGAACGTCAATGGCATTCCAGCCTTAGCGACCGGATGGAAACAACAACAGATTAACCAGTGGTTGAAAGAAGAACAAGTGGGGATTGCGTTGTTGGCGGAGACCAACACACACTGGCCTTCCCTTCTGGAAGGTCAACACTGGAACGATAGCATGCGACAAGTAGCATCTAAGGGATATTATTCGGTCGCGGCGCACAATGAGAACCGAGCTCGTCTCATGGCCTCGTGCTCGCAGTACGGTGGATGTGTGGCAACTATCTTGAACTCAGTTGCCCACTGTGCAAAATCTTTTGGTCGGGACCCCACTAAATTGGGCAGGTGGGCATATGTACGCGTCCAAGGCAAGAAGTTTGCAATGCCAACACCAGACGATCAAGTTCGCGAAGCTTCCGATGCTTCAAGGAGTCGGTTCTCTAGGGATTTGGCTGTGGTGTCTGCGTACCGACCTAACCCTCCGGGGACTGGGGAGTCTACAGTGTGGGCACAACACCAGAGTTTCTTTCGCTCCCAAGGTAGACTGCGTGAACCAAGGGAGGCCTTTATGGTGGACCTACTTCGAGCCATCACCCAGTGGCGCGATGAAGGATGTGATGAGGACATCAGCTCCACTAAGTCCTCTTCTTTTTGACAACGTCTTTGCGATGTTGGTATGGAGGAAGCTATCCTCCAACGACACCCTGGTCGAACGGTTGCCACTCAGCACCGGAACAAACGGGGCACACCGATCGACGGCATTTTGACGACCTCTGGGGTGGCTGTACAGGCTGGAGGCTACTACAACTTTGATGAGTTTTTCTCGTGCGACCACCGCGGTCTTTGGATTGATATCAACTTGGAGAAATCCTTGGGCGGGTACAAACCACAGCAGACCCTGTACAAACCCCGCAAACTTACTATGTTGGATACTACAGCAGTCCGCCGTTACCTGCAACTCGTTCACAAGGGATATGAGGAATACTCCATCCCATCTCGCTTGGCGTCCCTACTACATCACCAACTGCAACTAAATGAAGGGACCATGACAGCAACAATGGGTCGTCATTATAACTGCCTGCACCGTCAGATGTACGTCGTAAGGCGAAAGGCGGAGGAAAAATGTAGACGGGTCACTA